CAATTTTTCCTTTGACGTGAAAGATCTGGAATTCTTACCATCAACCTTTTTACTCGTCAATTGGGGTTGACATCAGATGATTTCCAAAGGGTTGCATACTTAAACCCGCCGCCTTGAAACAATCTCTGCGAACGCTGTTTGGCTTGGACTTTGAAGATTGATAATACTCTCGATGGTAATTAATTTGCTGGTTAATGCGATTTGGTGCAAAAAGTGTTTTGCATACACATCCTAGGCAAGCTTTTCACCAAACTACCTTGTGCGTTATCAACTTTATTATTATTAGATTTTGACGAACAGTTTTCTTTGTTGTAACGCCCATGCAGGACGTGAATTAATTTCACGTCATATACCTCATTCTCTTATGAACACGTTTATTTATAATGGCGAACGAGATCTTTAGATTGAATGAATAATGCACGCTTATAACTTTTCCGCGCTCCCACTGTGGAACACACTCCAAACTGTGATCCTTTGTGAACTATCAATCTTTATCTAACTAGAGGTTACAATTTATACCTTCCATTTACACTACATATGGAGCGAACAACTGCTTTTTAAACCACTCCAACTTGGATTTTTCAGGTTCACGTGGGACGCTTTTTCCACTCCATATTATTTTGTACCTAGGCAACTAATGATGATTTTAAAAAAACTTATTAAATGGACCACGAAGTCGCCCTGAATTTTTTAACGGTTTTCTAAGCTCGGCTACCCGAACGCTAATCGATGTGGACCCTAACTCTATCGACGTCAATAATCAAAATTTGTTCCCATTGACTGTCTAAACGCGAATGCCTTATTTTCGTACAAAAATTATCCCGCTCTCTGAATTTTACGTCATCCTTTAACGCCTACTCAATGGCGGAATAGTAATGATCGCGATATTTTATTAATTTTCGTTATTTCACCGGGCTTTCACGGCTGTATACTGAGCTTTAGAATTATGTAGTCAGCTTGTTTTTATCCAACGGCGCTTAATTTGCAAAGTTACATAAGTAACTTAACACGACCTATTTCCAGCGTGTAATTCAAAACCAAAACACGACAATGGGGTGACAGACACAATTTAGAACAAATACTTCAAACTTCAATATATGTGTCTTTAGGGAAAGACTGTATTCATTTTGAGCATGCTCTTCTAACTTCATACAGTGAAAATTTGTTATACAGATGTATCTTTGATGGCTATGCTACCCCTGGTTTAGAATGTAAGGGTAAATCAAGCAGATTATGCTGCTGTCCCATGCTGGAAATGGGTGCATTCAAAATACGATTTGATTAGATGAAATTCATACATTTTTGGATAGACCGCAGTGTTGTTTTACAAGTGTTTCTGATCTAGATACATATGGCATTTCTAAATTGCAATTGGCCCTCAATTCATATTTGCAGTGCTCGTATACAGAAATAACCACCGGAGTGGCAAAACTGTAAAAATAGTGCTAATTTGGAGTTTTTACGTAATATTCCATATCCAGCGTTGGACGAGCCCATTATGGTTAATGCAGCACTACGTAATGCACTCGATTAATCTATAAATGTAGATGTAAATGTAAGAAGTTACGTATGTGGACAATGTAATTACAATAATTCATTACTTTCAATGCTGCATTTATGAGCAACTTAAAAAATAGATTTATTTCTTCATTTCTTCCGCGCATACTATTTAAGTACTTCATACATTTTCTTAATTACTCATATTACGGCGATTGAAACAATTTCTTTTATTGTGAAACTGTAAAGAAAATATCCTGAAAACCCTAAGAGCTTAGGAAACGAGAAAAGCTCCAGGAAATGCACTTAAAACGTTCTCTGCCGGAAAAATATTTACTTTAAAAATTTCGTTTAACCTTAATTGAAATTGAACAATTGATATTTTAAGCCATGCTTTCTAATCCATACTAATCCGTAACCTTCCGCACTAACCTAAATTAGTTCATTATGGAATCTGAATACAATTCTTAATAACCATAATTTCGCAGTCTCCATGCAATTTCGCTATTGAAGAAGTGCGTATGTTATGTAACGAAAAAAGTAAATCTTGGCCTGCATGCTTATACTTACGTTGAATATTCATGTGAAATTTCACAAATGAAGTGTTCTAATTAAGGTACATTCTTTTTCAATGAATTAACAACAATCGCTGATGAGATCTGGGTAAATTTAATTGTGGGATGCGCCAGGAAGTTTATTGTTTCGAAGTCTTTTTAGAAACGCGCGCTCTTTTACATCTCGCCAGGTTTTGTGTAAAAATATTCCTTCCGGTACCAGACGTTTAAGAATATCTTGCTAATGATGTCAGAAAATCTACTTTAAAAATACTTCCTCTTTCAGACGAAAATTGTTTATCAACACAGATAATTTATATAGTATAATTACAAGGGCAAGCGTAAACAGAAAGTGAACGAGAAAATACTACAAAACCGGGAGCTGTGGATTTTTTTTCGAAAGATTACACGTAGCAATTTGCTTTGTAAACCGCGAAATGGTTGTACACATTTTGTAATTAAAATGTTGCAATTTGAAGCTTGCCAAGTATGCTGAAATGTTGATAAAACCTGCTGCATATTTAGATATTTTAAGAATGCACTCCTTAAAGGGCGTTGTGAAGCTCGTAGATTTAAATTTCATTGATGCAGTTTGCTATATTCTCAAATATTTCTTTTGAAGTTGATCGATAAAGAGCATTCCATGCACTGCTCTTATTTACCCACTGTGAAAAATATTCTTTAAGTTTAAAACGTAGCGTTTCTGATACCTAACTTCTCTTTGGCATAAAATTCTCCCGATTTTGCATTCTTTGACGGAGTAGATAATGGTTAAATGTTATAATTTAAAAGATGAGGGAGATCTACACGTCTATGTATTATACAGGGTGGCAAATTTACACACAGGTTCAAATTATGTCAAAACGCGCAAAAATGATCTTTATGGAAAGTATATTTTTTATACCTGAAAACAGCCTGAGAAACGGCCAGAAGGAAAACAACATAAGAAAATAAGATTTTCATGGGGTACACTTTTCGCATGTTATAAAGGATTAGGCAAAATTTTCTTATTTTTAATTTCCCATTTTCAGTACGATTGTTTCTCAGTGGAAATACAGGGTTCGGAATTGCGAAGCAATAGATCCAGCCGAGGGGTAGTTCGCAACCCATAATTTGTACAGAGATTACTACTTTTGCCTTGATTTCCTCAGATTTCCTGTAGATTTCCTATGATTACCTTGGGAGTTCCTGTGATTACTTCGAGATTTCCCATGATTACTTTGGGATTACCCCGATTTCTCCTGATTTCCTCTGATTACCTATCAAAATTTCTCTAAGATATATATGAAAAAAGTTGCTGAACCGACAGGTTAATGATATATAAACTTTAAATATAAACGGAAACTGTATTTAAACCTCAGTTCCTCAGTGGGGTCATCCATGATGCAGACCACCTGTGAAGAGAAGATGTGTCACTTATTAAAAACGCGCGTGAATCCCGGTTTAAAACTTTTGCAAACGCTTTCGTTTGCAAATTTGTTATGCGATCCTTATGACAAAATCGAGGGTAAACAGTTTTTTAATGCACTTTTCATGTACCTCGGGTCCAGATCCAGAGGGCCATAAAAATGTTTTGATGAACTAATATAATATTTCTACAGAAGTGTAGAATATTAATTACACGGTGTTTTTTTAAGATTAGGGTAATACAACAATGTAAAGGCGTTGAGTTATTTAAAATGGGGCATAAGGAAATTTCGAGCGAAATTTACATTGCATCAATTATTGTTTCGCTTACTTCCTCGCGAATCATTTGCCACAGTACTGTAGAAATTGTTTCTAAATGAACAATTTTATTCAAATCAGATATAAACGTATAAGATTACCATCGGTGCTCGAATTGTGTTCCACCGGAAACCAAACAATACCCGATACTCGGCACTGAAGAGCTCGCATACCACTGGGCTACCGTGTCCACTCTTGTACAAATTTCCAGCAGCGGAATATGTTACTGCTTCGTTGATGCAGTTTGAGGCATTGAGATCGAGAACTGTCAGTGAAATAACTAAGCGCCAGGCCAAGATTTGAGAACAATTGGCGCAATGTAAATTTCCCTAAGGCCCATATTAAATAACTCAACGCCTATACATTGTCGTATGGTCCATCTTAAAAAAACACCCTGTAGAAGCATATAAGTATAATACTTAAAATAGCGCGGAAATCGTTCTTCCGCAATATGATTTAGAAAATCCTGACAACTTGGACCCTTTCAGGGGAAATATCCCGATCTAATCCGATCCTGTATGCATTATAAGCATTATATAGGTAGATACTTGGTATTGTAAAAATATCGGCGGCAATGAAGTCACGGGTTCCACATGTTGATTACGTACTTTTATTTTCGCAAAAAGCAACTCAACATATTTTAATATAAACCGTTAAAAACCAAAAGGAATGAAAGGAAAGTTGTAACACGATTCACAAAAACTTCTTACCTTATAAATTCATATGTAAACTCATTCACTTATTTTGAGCGTAAATTAAAAAAACGTTCACACAGTATTTTGAGTAACGCAACTGCGCATGAGCATTCAGCATTTGTAAATGATTTCCCTTGACTACCCTTTGATTTCCTTCTAGATTTCCTTGATTTCCAATGATTTCCCGTGATTTCCCTTGATTTCCTCCGATTTCTAGTGATTTCATCATGACTTCCTCGTGATTTCCTCACTAGTGTACAGAGATTTCCCCTGCGAATTACCCCTCGGATCCAGCAGACATCTTCCCCGTTTAACATTTAATTTCTCGAAAAGTACGCGGTCAAAAGCAATGATCAAGGGTCCATTGAAGGGCAATTCGATTCCATAGGGGTCGAAGAAAGAGAGCCTCTGTACTCTGAAAGCTCCTTCAAGGGTAAGAAATACATAATTTCTATATAAAATTTACGCGCATGAAAATTCCCAAGGCGAATGTAAAACATACAATTTAACAAAAAATTGAACTTCTTACCTGGTCACAGCTGCACCACTTGATTGCCTGTAAAAGAGATCAAATGTTATATTTCATTAAATAACAAAAATGTTATGTGTGTAAAAAATGAGACATTAATAAGGAGTGTATAAGTACAGTTTGTAATGTAAATGTTTCAAAATTTGTGTTAGTAAACGCCCCATTACATTAAAGAACGAATTGCAAATGCAGTTTTGAATCGATATTGATGTATAATAGCACCCTGTGTATACAGCATGTGACCACATGCAAATAACCATAGTTTTTTGTGCTCTGTTTCAAACCATTATTATTGCAGGTTCAAATCATGTCATTAGTACAGGGTGTCCCATTTTTCGCACCTTTATAGGGTAATTGTTACGAGTAAAAAGTTATTTAGGGATCATGTGGTCTTTTTGGGTCGCTCTTACGGTGGTAAAATCAAATTTGAAAATAGTCGCTCGCTAGAGATACGGGGAAACATCGAAAAGTATGCGGGCTCAGGAAAAAGTTATCGGATCTAACCAACTAAATGTCAAACAGATTTTTAATTTTTTTTAATCAATCAATTTTTTTAAATCGATGTACATGACCACACATTTGCTCTTCCACTTAACCCTTCCACCTCCACCTCTAAATTTCGATAAAGAAAAAAATGAAAGGACCCCCCTTTTCAACACGAGCTCTGTTGAAATACTGAACCATGTTTTCTAAATGCACCAATTGGAATTTATATCTCCACGAAAGTACAGGAGAAAGAGGTTTTCCCTCCGTACTAAATGCCGGATGGTTGGTCCAGAGAATGGTCTCATGCCGAATTCACCCTTGTAACGAAGCACACCTAATTAGGATAACTGAATATGATCCAAATCCCCGACATCTCGTCGCCTAGGTTTCCCAAGGTAAAAAACAATGTTCTATAAAAATCAAATGACGCAGAAAAGACGAGCTTCAAATCCACCACGGCTTGCGTATCTTTTTTGACAATTCCAATAGAAATACAAGTTATTGTTTTCGACAACCTGCAAATTGTCTATTAGGTATGTATTGCACCAACTACACTCAAACCCCTAAAATCACGGTTAAGTAGATATCTTCGCAAAATCGATTTTTTTTAATTTATTTCGCCAACACATAATAGTAATTCTTTAAAATAATTCCCATTTCCTTGATTCTAACGGTTTTTGTTCAGTAGGTACTATTTGTTTACGTTTTAATTTTAGATCTTTCAACTATTTGAATAGACTCTAACAACAATATTGATAGAGGCGTTGTTTTCCATCTATCAAATGTTTTTATTGTTCGCTATTTGAACGGTTAGAAAATGGAAACAATTTAGAACAATCATTCATTTGCATCTGTCTGACGTAACCGAAATCGAAAGAACCAAGGTTAGGCAGGTAAGCTCATCGCCTACACCCCGACCACAAAGGCACGAGTCATCGCCGCCACCTGTACGACGATTTGTACAAGAAAGTCGATGAACTGTGTTATACTGGTTATACCCAAGCCTTTCCCTGATACTGATTCCTAACTATTTGTTATGAATAATAATTAGTACTACTATTTTTATTTAGGCAAATAGGTACCTACTAATGCCATATTTTATACGAATGGATCGGTTAGTATTAGGTGAATTTTTGTCCTGATTCGGACTGTTCGAATACAGAACCGGATCACAAATAATTTTGTTTTCCGATTCATGCAAATTCTACTGGCGAATCCAAATAGGGTGCAAATCCATCAGCGATTTGTAAGTGAAGGGTTTGGGCGGACCTTGTCTTGACAGTTGACATTCTCTGAAAGTATAAGTAGCAGTTTACTACCAATGACTACAAAATTGTCATTTTGATGAAGAACTTGACCGACCGAGTACAAAAAGCAACATGATCTACTGCAAACGTACTTACATTTAGGTTTTCCTATGAATCGAAGATAAGCACCTTGAAACTATTCAAAACAAGCGTTAATGACTAATTCGATTATTTCAGTGTTGCAATGCATTTTTCAAATTGCCCACCTTAAGGTCATCGTTAGATCCCAGTTGGTAAACACGATTTCGTAACGTTAATGACGCATCATAAAGTTATAGGATGTGACCATGTTTCACTTACCTAAAAAATTCTATTTATTTTCATTCTCTTAAAAAAGAAGATCTACTCATCGGATAAATATTTATCTTCGATCATCTACAGGTGGTCGTACGGGGAGGTCACGGTTGAGGACAAACACATGCAGAACCGGTTAGTTTAAAATGCAGTACGCAAATACTCAACCCGAATGGAGAAAGTGGAATGAAACGTTTAACATTAACGCTGTGAGCCTTTTTAGTGGTCAGGTTCAAGGTAAACTTTCAACTTCAAGATTTAATCACCTCCAATTTCTTCTCGTGAAACGGGTATGCATTTTAAATAATTCCTGTCACTTAAGTAGGTAATCAGTAAATCACATTTATGTCATTGTACTAATGGTTTTAATTCTTCTAACCCCACTAGGTTGGCAGATCGCGTTCCCTGGAGGAAATCCTGGATCAAGCCCAATAAGATGGTGTTTATTTTTAAGTTTTTTGTTAGATTCATTCATGCTCAAAGAATGTAAATAAAACCAGCCCGAAGACGAGACTTGCAAGTTTTAATAGTGAGTTTACGAATGATGAATTGACTTATTTATAGTTTCTCTTTCTTTTAAAATTCGGAGGTGGACAGGCTATCCGAGTATAGCTTTTTTTTACTTTTAAATATGCAAACTATAACTATTCCAGCACTTGAAAACAATCATTCTTGTTCTAACACTTTTATTTACTTGGGACGCTAATAAAATTACCAAATTTAGTCTAATGCGATACTGTATGCGAAACATCACTTTCCTTTTTTTGCCATAGCGTTGTTTCAGTTTTCTGCTTACGGATGAAACTGCACTGAGATCTGAAACATTAACGTGACTACCACCTACACTGCGTCCTTCTCCATCCCAGTAAAAAACTCATTTATTCTCGTATCAAAGAACGTAATTACACCTTTCAGGATTTAGGACAATTTGCAACCCCTTAAGAGACTATCAGATGCTAGACAAAAAGGTCTGCCAAAAGCAATTAAACATTTCAGTATGTTCCCACGCTCCTTTTTGTTAGGTTGAACCCATTTCCATATAAACAAAATGGTCTCACGGTTTCAGGAGCAGTTATCATCGGTTTTCCAGGCGAATACCTATTCTTTTTTGTTTAATTGCCCCTGTTGGGATGTGGATAGTTCCTATGGCATTGCCTCCTAATTAGACGGAAGTTAGTGGAATAACCACTATGACCACTCAATGAAAAACGTCAAATTACTAACATAGCTATTCTGACCTCATCTTTCTTAAAAACATTGTGGTTTTCATTTGTAAAGCAGAAAATTGTTAACCTTCAAGACTTATATTTCCCCTAATGTCAAATTTTACGGAATAGCGCATTTTCTTTCTCATTAGATAGTTCGAGCAGTTCTTTTCTTGAATAACTTATTTAACAACATTAGACATTTTTCAAGTATTCAGATTGTTATGTATACTAAATCATTATCATGCGGACATCACCCTGTATGAGTTAAATTCCAATTGTTTATCAAGGTTAAATGTGGTTGTTGAAGTGGATAAAATACCAAAAAGCAACAAACAGAATTTTCAAAGCAACATCAGTAAGTTGGTCTTTGCGTTTTTCTGCGGCTGATAAAAAATCGCAAGTTATAACCGGATGTTAGGATATTAACTCTTTAAGGCACCTATTTAGAACTTCCTTTAAAATTTAATTTGTTTTAATCGATCACATGTGCGTGGTGCTTTGTTTGTAGGCCCTGAATACCTTGATTTTTGTTTAATAAGTTTGTGTCGTGCATAAATGATCAACTGTGTGCTTAATCGAGCCCAAATTACGATCCATGATACAAGAGTCTTCATGATTGCAGATTTCTGCATGAAAAAAGTTTGGTGCAAATTTGTACACACTATTAATAAGATGCTGTATGGGGGAAAGCGTTTTGTTAAAAAAATAACAAAAAACGGATGGCCTTTAGAGGTAATTGAGAAGAATGATTAGGAATTTTGGAAAATTATGGATATGAGAGGAAAATTGAAGGAAATTCATTAGGAGTTTTGGGAAATGAGAAGCAGCGAATTTATCAGTAAGGGAATTATATTATACATACCACTAGGGTTATCTTGGGGTAGGAATTTTTGATAAAGAAAGTCGGGAAGAGCATGTTTAAAAGCCTATGCAAAACCGGTAGGTATAGATTAGTACACATACCCTAAGGGTTTTTTTGAAGTAAGAATTTTGGAAAAATTATTCCATAATCGATGAAAACAAAAACCTGTAAAAAACCGTAAATTTCTATGAGATATTATTGCTCAGAAAAAATTAAAGAAAAAATCCAATGTTTAGCACTTTTGGGGCCGTAGCGCTCAAATGAAGAACTTTGGCCCCCAGTTATTAAAGTTAAAAAGTCTCTGATGTGCCATCACTACATTTCAGCGCATTGTTGATGTGGCAGGTCAGTAGACGCAATAATATCTCGATTGTACATATCTAACGCACCAGGAAGAATATATTAGGAACCCCCTGACACCTACTTCACAACAATTTCGTGACAAATCCAGATTTGTCGAAAAAACTTTAAGCTATTCTAAAAAAAAGAATTATCATCCTTATAGAGTCGTAGAGGGGACGGGAGTTGGCGAAAATGAATTTTTTTCGTCCTGGCCTTCCACTAGAGTAGCTACTTTTTTTTGAAAATAAAAAATGCCTAATAGTTATTTGTACAACTAGTTTTGAAAGTGATTTTTCATGAATTTGCAGTTTGATTAATGAGGGCGAAACCCGAGTTAATCAAGCAAATTCATGGAACAAAGAAACTTTCAACACGTGTTGTACACGAAATTTTTTTGCATAGTGATCCATAATAACCCACAATTGAATAATTTTATTGACAATCGATATTTACTGTCACTCAAAAATGGATGCTATTGTTCATAGAAAGGACTAGACTCCATGGAAAGGCATAGTAAAAATCGTGAAA